GCGGAGCTCCCCTCCCCTCTGGCCTCAGTCCCTACTGTCATAGCAGTGCTCCACTGTCTAACCCTGTGTGTAGGGCACTCTGACTGGCTGCCGAGACAGCCAATCAGAGTGCGAATAAAGCGTTACGGACAGACAGACAGACGTAGGCTTTTATAATATTAGAATATTAATAATTAGATCAGTGGCTCTCAACCTTTTTAGACTTGAGGCACCTCTTGGAAAATGCCAGCTCTTAGTTTTCACAATTTTTTTTGCCTGCTTTGTTCTGTTAAAAAAAAGAGAAGAAAAAAGCAGTGAGACTATAACTGTGGATTTCTATTTGAAAGTACTGGGTTTACCCTGTGAATTTGAACCCTGTTTCTAAGCCTAGCAAGGCTAAGATTGTTTGGAGCCCCATAACACCCCTGAAAGGATCTCAAGGCATTCAATGGTGGCCTTGCACCCTGGTTGAGAGTCACTGAATTAGACCTTAGAAAAGTGGCTATTATCATGACCTCTGCTATTCCCTATGTTACCACAAGGGAGCAGGCTCTGCTCACCTTCATTCAGTGAATGAATTAGGGAAAAGTATATGCAATAATTCACACAACTGGCAGAGCAAACCCTGAAATTGGAAAGGAGCAAACCCTGAAAAGACCTTGTTCCAAAATGTTCTGTCTTTAAAATGGTTCCCTAATATTATTTGAGATTTTCTCCTGGCATACTGGAATTTCAAATCTAAACAGGCTTTTTTTAAAGTCATTTTAAAACAAGAGCAAAAAATTCTCCCAAAAATTCTTTGCTGGAGCAAAACCAACAACAAGAAGGTGAGTTTGCAATTCCTCTGTAATGTTTAGAAATCACTGCTACAAGACATTGTAGAAGCTGACAGTTTAGGCAGATTCAAAAAGGGGACTGGACAAGGATCCCCAGGACAGAGAAAGCCCTCACTCTCATTCTACCAACTTAGAATCATAGAATCATAAAATCATAGGCTGCCTGCAGGTGTGAAAAAACAAAACAAAACCAACAAACACGTTACCTGAAGCAGCAGCATGTTAGTTTGAAATGGCTCTGCAGCATCTGTATAGATTGGGTGCTTCAGCAGGGGTTTTCAGCACTTTATCTAAAGCTGATTCAATCAGCTATTACATAAAAGCAACAAAAAAGCCCACTAAACACCCGATCTATACAGACCTTGAAGAGTCGGGCTGAACTAACGTGCTGCCTCTTCTGGGCATGCGCTGGCGTGCACGCAGTTTAAAGTAAAGTGCAGCTTTGCTTGCGTTTTTTTTCTTCTTCATGTCTGCAAGCTGCCATAGAATCATAGAAAGTTAGGATTGGAAGCAACCTCAGGAGGTCATCTAGTCCAACCCCCTGCCCAAAGAAGGACCATGCCTAACTAGGTCATTCCAGCTAAGGCTTTGCAAAACCAGGCCTTAAAATCCTCCAAGGATGGAGATTACATTACCTCTCTAGGTAACCTGTTCCAGTGCTTCACCACTCTCCTAGTGAGATTCTTTTCCCTTAATATCCAACTTAAACTGCCCTTGCTGCAACTTGAGTCCATTGCTCCTTGTTCTATCATCTGTCATCACTGAGAACAGTCCAGCTCCATCTTCTTTTGAACCCCACTTCAGGTAGTTGAAGTCTGCTATCAAATCCCCCTCAGTCTTCTCTCTAAACTAAATAAGCCCAGGTCCCTCAGCCTCTCCTCATGAGTCATATACCCTAGCCCCTTAACTATTTTTGTTGCCCTCTGCTAGATTCTCTCCAGCTTGTCCACATCCTTTCTGTAGTGAGGGGGCTCAAAACTTCTGTCAGTGCTACTGTCAAACATGGAGGATGGAAAAAGCTAGGCACAAACCATCAAGAACCAGAGAGGCTGTTACCTAGTCCATAGCTGCTGCTACTCCTCAACAGATTTTTTTCTGCAACTGAGTGGGAGGAACAGGAAAAAGAACAGCGTAGTTTCCCCAGTCAACCCTTTTTTCTGAACTCCTTGGCTGGTTTGGTTAGATCAGCATAAACCACAATGACTTTTGGCATCAAGCCCATTAGAAGAGGATTACCAACTTCATTTAGTGCTTTAGTTCAATCTGTGAAAGGAACTTTTTAAGGAAGTCCTTGGCTCAAGGAGCTGGAACTTGTCTACCTCCAGAAATCTCAAAGCTCTTTACTAAGCTCCATGCTCCCCATTCTATAGACAGGGATGCTGAGGCAGAACCAGGTGAAATAATTGGTCTGAAGTCACTTGGCAGACTAGTGGCAGAGACAAGGGGATTAGAACCCAGGCCTCCTTGGCCTCAGTCTGGTACTCTATTAGCCGTGACTAGGCCACATTGCTTTTCCTTAGAGAAATCAAATGAAAAAGACATGATTCAGGTCACTCCATACATCTGTCAGCTAGCAGTTCTTTCTGTATACTTGATCAGCTGATTAGGCCTCTCTCTGGGTGGTTCATTCATATAAAGGCAGAGGAGAAAATTAAAAAAGGAAAACATGATAAAATCATGAAAATCAGAGGAGCATGCACACATGCTCCTTCCCCCCCACTCATGTGATTCAAATTAAACCCTCTTCACCATCACTGATACCTCCCCCTGGCAAAGGATGTAAAATAAGCTCAGTAAGCAAAACAGTCATGTGTGTGTGCGTGTACACACACGCACATGTGTAATGCACTGGATCAAAACAATAGCTTTGACCTCTCTTGCACAGTGTTTTGCTGCATAACCTTATAAATATACAAAGCCATTTTTAGAAAAAAACGTATCTGCTGCCCACCCCTCACTGTCCTTTTTTTTTCTCTTTAAAGAGCCCAAATTCATTTTGATGGCATTTGGGAGCGAGGCTGTTAAACTGCTTGGACACCATTGAACATGTTATCCAGATTGTGCAAGCACAGGCTGTACATGGTCACATGATGCTGCTACAAGCACAATGAATATAAGCATAAAATGGAACAAGGACCAGTACTGCGACGATATTCTTGGCAAACTCTCTGGAGGCAACATGGCCTAGCCAATCTTCCCTATTGGCCAAAACATCAGAGCCATATTTCTAGCAAAACTTAGTCTCCTTTCAGATGCATCAGTGCTTGGGGAAGAGGAGATGGCAGGCTACTAGAGGGCTTCAAGTCATCAATGCCTTTTAAAGGTGGGACACATCCACCTTTGTCAGGGAGCCCAGAAGACAGAGACTCTCCCTACACCTTTGAAAAGCATGGTTCTACTGAAATTGTCTCTGTTGCTACTAATAGCACTAACGAAAACATTCCCAAAGTCTTTTTCGGCGTCAGACACTTCTCATTCAAATGTGGCAGACAGAACTCATTAGTTATCCGAAACCAACCCCACTTTCCACAGCAACCTAAAGCTGAGTTTGAACAGCAGTCTTAAACCCTACATTACCCACCCACAAAGGGCCAGATGTGAATCTTTTTCTCTCACTGTGACTTGAGACATGCACATGTTTACTACTTACACCAGATCTAGGGATGGAGAGATAGAAGCAACAACTTGGTTTAATTATAGCCCCTGATTCAGCAAAGCCCCTAAGCTCATGCTTGATTTTTAGAGTGAGCAAGTCATTTTGTGGCCTGCAAAGATACAATATAGTAGAAGATCCAGAGAGCAAACCGTATTGCAATGGCATGTTTACTGTGATCCTTCTTCTCTTACAAATACTCCTGTTGACAAACATCAACATCATCTCTCCAAGAGATTTGAGGAAGGGCACTTAGACACATGCTTGTCTAAGTGTATCCCAACCAATAAAAGATACTACCCACAAAAATCCTTGCCTCATTGCTGAACCTTTGACTACAACAAAGATTGAAGTAAACATATTTACATAAATCTAGACTTATAGGCATGGCAGCTCCCCAAAGGATACTCCAACTACAGAGTATTCCAGAGTCGCCTGCTCAGTCTCAAGGTATTGGAGATTTCACTCCCTACATAAAAGCATTACACAACAAATTATTACTAAAACGAATGAATTCAGAACTGGTTCCCCACCCCGCATATGGAAGGTTTTGAGGACTTACCTTATTACTGTTGGCGTGATTTCAGCACAGAAGAATACGCTGAGACTTCCAACTGCATGTGATGAAAACATACCCACAATGGAAAATGCAGTAGAGAATTTCTCTTTGACACTGTCACTCATACCTGTTAGACCCATACACAAAGAAATTGAGATCAGTGCAACCAGTAAGATATCACCAAGAAAGAAGAAGAAAACATATCAGTATACCTCACTTACTGTCTTAGTTATAAGTTTAAGGCACATTTATTGAAAGCAACATTATAACTCAGGCCAACTACCCAAAACAAATTTATGAAAAATCACAATACCCTTGCAAAAAAGGCAGCAAGCAGACAATCTCCAAATTATTTATTACCAGACACTACAAAAGCAAAACTCATGAAACATCCCCAAACAGCCTTTTTGGCACTAGGCACTTCCCACCCAAACTTGGCAGCCAACTGGAGCCAGACAGAATTCATCAGTTGTCTAAAACCAGGCACAGCTCTGTGGCCTAGACATTTAAACATGCTGTGACAGAACAAGAGGAAAACAAGATGTTTCTGACTCCATGAGGAACTACAAAAAATTCCCTGTGTTCCCATAGATTAGGCTCAGAGATGTCTAGCTACCACGCTAATGATCCAACTTCCTCCACAATTACCTCATCTGAACATAAGAATAACTGGATATCAAGGAGTAAGATTACACCTAGGTGCCTAGTTTGAATAGGATCTGGCCTTCAGGCTGTAAACAGACACCTCATCTGAGACAGGTCTGACTGTCCTGGGTTTTGACCCAGATCAATACAGGAGTGGCAGCCATTTACACACAGCTCTCCCAAGCTGTATTGCTGCACCTCTGCCAGCAGGGATAAGCAAGAACACAGAGCCTGAGTGATCAGCTTGTCTCTAGAATGACTGGAAATTAACTTAAAGGAGCCTTGTTTAACTTGCATAACTTAAAGATCTGTAGGATCTCAGTCCAGAAATTCTCTCTTCCAAGAGAAATAAGATGCCTATTTACAGCCTAAGGGCACTATATGCATGGCAGACTTCTGCTCCAATGTGTGCTAATTAGCATGTGTTGGACCAGACTCGATTAATCAAGTCTGCTATGAGTTCGCTAATTAGCATGCTCCAGCAGCCTCTGCATCATGTATATTCAGTGTCTCCTGCCACCATTTTGAAGTGAATGCATGTGAATACTGAATGCATGTGACATTGTGGGTGCATAGCCATCTCTCAGAGCTGCTCAATTGAAACGCCCCCACTCCACCCCATAGCACATGTATAGACACCCCTAAGTGACTGTAACAGGACACTGGGATGTGCCTGCTTCTTTAAGGGAGCAAGCAGCCTGAGAGACTGCTGGCAGTTAGCAGTCGGGTAGTCTCTCCCCAGCCACTGTGCGGGGAGGAGCTCTTGGCCTGGTTTATATCGAATACCTCTGCAGACAAGGGAATTAAGGCAAGTACCCTGGGTTGAGAAAGAGTGGGCTTTTACAGACAAGTGGCTTTGGTTTTCTTAATTCCAGAGGTTTGAGGTGCCCACTAGAGGGCCCGAGAGCCCACGAGGGTTGAGTATATAGGCTAAGGAATAGCCCCAGGTGGAAAGATATGCCCATGAGGAGATAAAGACAGTCTGCCCTCTTAAAAGGGGCGGAGGAGAGCTGTTTCAGCTGTTGTGGAATTTCTGTTATAGCCTGGGGGCTTATAGTTTTGTGACTGTTTATACTGGTGGTTTGGGCTGGGAGTGTAAGGGGTGGTTTTGGAGGTCCCATTAGTGCCTGTGAGGCACGTGACTGCCTTGAGCTCTGTCAAGGGCCCGCTCAAGGCCTGAGCTATCGTTCATCCCAGTGAAAGAGGCAGCGCATGACTCCAGAGCAAATGGGGGCCAGGTGCACAGTGAGACAGGGGCCAGAGGTCCAGTGCCTGAGGGGCACAGCAAGTTAGAGGTCAGAAGCCTGGTGCCTGAGAGGGGCATGGCAAAATAGGGGCTATGGGCTTGGTGCCAGAGGAGCGCAGCTATAGTGGTCAAGGGCCTGGTAGACAGAGGCCAGGGGAGTGGAAACTGAAGGAGGTAGATGGATGCTAATGCCTCAAAGCCAGGTCCAACACTGTGGGCCTAGGCTTAAAAAAAAAAAAAGGGCCTAGTGAGGGGAAAGGGGCAGAGGCCGAGAAGGCTGAAGCTCCAGCAGGAGAGAACAACATTATGATAACATCTGCGAGCCTTGGGGCACAGTGTAGGGGAGGAAAAGGAGCCATGCAATTTGCCCTAAGGCTATAGGTGCCTAGTCAAGCCAGGAGGGAACTATTCAGATTGAAGCTCACTCTGAGGCCTGTTGGTAGCCTCCCATAATCACTCTTGAATAGTAAGATCAAGACATGGCAGGCAAGCAAACTAGAGGGAGAGGCCATAAAGTCTGAGCTAGACAGGAGCTGCAATTCCACTGGGAGGTGTCACAGCCGCCTCAGTGGGTTTGTGACCTGTTACAGTGACTTATGAGCCTACGTCTCACTTGCAAAAGGGACATGGGCACTTAGGAGCCTACTGAAAGTCAGGAGGACTTTAGCTTCTAACTGCTTAAATTACTTTGGAAAATGGGACTCTGACACGATTAAAAATTTTACCCTATATCAAGAACTCCTTCCTAGGACTCCACTTCTCCACCGAACATGAACACCAGAGTTAAAGTCAAAGGTGACTTCTGAACAGGAGCATAACAATGAACAGCCATTCCCAAAACACTGCATTTTAACAGCAGCCTTCCCCATAAGCACCAGCAATAAAATGGCAACCAGGTTCTTTTCTCCTCAGCTACTCTGGCCTTTCAGATACTCCCACTGAAAACGAAAACAGTTCTAATGCACTAAATAGACATTACTTGTAAACAGTACCTGAGTCTGGAAGTTGACTATATTTTCCAATTACTGGATCCAAGGCCACAAAAGATGGAGTAAAATGGCGGGTGGGGAGTGGAAGAGGGGGAAGGAGCGGAGAGAGAGAGAGAGAGAGAGAGAGAGAGAATATGAAGTTAAATATGCAATTTATTCAAAGTGAAAAAAACCCAACCAAACAGTGCCCTCCCTCCCTCCTCACTTCACTTTTAATGCCCTGGTCAGATTGAAATGTTCTTTGAAAACTTGTTTTACATGGCACGCAATTTCCAGTCCTATTCCCAACTGGAGGATGGGATTCTAATAAGATGATAATAAGAAATGCATAGTGGTAAAGCACTTTAAGAGACTCAGAATTAGCACTGAGATTAAACAAAGGTCTCTCTGTTGGTAATGAAAGGGAAAAAGAAGCTGCAGTCAAACTTCATTGTTACCCTGAGGAAATGGCCACAAGGGCTTTAGTTAAAAGCAAAGCCTTTAGAATCCACGTCCCTGTGTTACTAAGACGCATCTTTCTTGCCAAAACGCAAAGTGAGTTTACAGCATGTAAAATTATTCACAAGTTGCAATTGGCTCAAGTTCCTAAGCAACACTAAGTAATGCCACATAGCAGGCAGAACAATTGTTATGCGAGTCTGGCACAACTCAGGACTTGAGCATTACCAGAAATCTTAAAAAAATTATGAGCCAGGAGAAACCTTGGAGCCTTACTCGGTTTTCTGTTGACAAAAACTTTAGCCCCGTCTCATCCTCTGCCTCCTTTCCTTTGCAGCTCTGATTAACAGAACTTTGGTGCAGTTCATGGACTCCAGACAACATTTCTCTTTTCTTTTCAAACCAATCTCTAGTTGCCTGTAAAGAGGGAAATTGGTATGGCAGGTGGGAGAGAGGGAGGGGGAAGAGGCAGAGGCACCGCAGCAGAAGGAGCCGAACTTGCTTCCAAAGCCTTTTCCTCGTCTTTTCCAAAAGCTGCCTATCAAACTGCATAGGTCTGAGAAGCCTAGGATGCCAAGATATGCTGAAATGACAGCAATGTCTACAGTTATCTCCCATTTTTGATTTTTTGAAAGAATAAGCCACCTGGCTCCATTTAGGAAACAATCTGTGAGGATCTGCAGAGGAAAGCTCTCTCTTCACTTTTTTTTTTTTTTTTTTAAGGTGGAAAAAAGACTTGGCTAGCTCTCTCAGAAATTGGTTGATTCTCATTTGTTCTGTATAAGACACTGATAAATATGTCATCTCTTTGGAGATGAGTGAATTTAGTGTTGGAAGAAGTGCCAGATGGACAGCCTTGGTTGGAGTCTGAGGTCCATACAATGTGTATGCAACAGACATACTGCCTGCTTATTGCCTCAGCTCTGGGAAGGAGCCAGCTCCAAGGCTGAGAAGGTCTTTCAGAAAAGGGATGGAGACTCTCCCTCTGTTGAGTCTGTTAAAGATGCTGGTTAATAGGAGTCTGGGAGTGAGGCCAGGGGATGTTCAGTTTCTTTTTTCTCATGACATATATTCTCTCTGGTCGACTGCCTATGGGAGAGAGGTGTCTACAGAAAGTTAACTCATTCAGCACTTTAGAAACAAGTGTTTTTGCAGAATCAGGCACCTCCCATTGACTCTAGTTTATTTTCAACAGTTGGGAAGGGAAGAGCCCATGAGAACAGGGCAGAAAGCTTCTAATTCATTCTTTATGTCCATCTTCAAGGTTGGGAATGGAAGGACAGCAGAAATAGTCTGGGGTTATTCCAATCTAATTACCCTGGTTTCTTCAAAAAATTTTTTATCATCATTATTATACAGAATCTTATTGTTTAGATACATGCTGTCTCTAAGGTACGTGTAAGTGGACTTAGGCTCCTAAGTGGGATCCTATTCCACCCTGCTCAAGTCCCTGAAAATATATAACATGCCATCATCCTTAAAATTAAGTCATAAAATTGCACCAAAGAGTAGAGCTGTGCGAAGTGGGCCATATTCAATTTGGATTCGGCCCGAAATTGGGGACAGTGATTGGATTTGTTGATTTGGATCACTGTCCCTAATTCGATTCGACCAAATCTGAATCTGAAGATTCAATGCTGATTCGGAGAATCAATGATTCAGCCATAGACACAGCTTTAAATGTTTTTTCTAGGCACCAACGCAGCTCATGAACGATGCTGGGGCACATGGAGTGTCTCAGCGATGTTGGGGCACATGGAGTGTCTCATAGGAGTGCGGGGCCCCCCTGTGTGTTTGGCAATGAACACTGAAGTGGACCGGAAGTACTTCTGGTCCACTACCGGGTCTGCCAGTGAGTGCACTGGGGGCTCCCCCCGTATCCTCCCCGGCCCAAGAGGCCCCAGTTGTTGAGCTGGAGGGGCATGGGGGAGCTCCCCAGAGCACTTCCCGGTGGATCTGGAAGTGGACTGGAAGTACTTCTGGCCCACTTCTGGGTCTGCTGCCCAGTGCGCTGGGGAGCCCCCTGAGCTCCTGTAGGATGCTCCATCCACCCCAGCATCGCAGTGTTGACGAGCTGCCTGGTACCTTGAGGTATGTAGAAAAAACATTTAAAGCTGTTTCTATGTCTGAATCTCCAAATCTTTTAGGAGACCCTAAAAGGGTCTCTTGATTAGATTTGAAGATTTGGCCACTGAATCGGGCTCAATTGGATCAGGGATCGAAGCTTCACACAGCCCTACCAAAGAGGAGGACTCGGTCTTATTTTTTGTACGACCTGGTTATCAGGGATTGGGACAGGGTGGAACAGGATCACACTAAGGCAGAATAAGATCTGGCTCACATGTTATACATCCACACAATCTACATTTATTGAGAGCTATGTTTCTTAACTGTGTTGCTACCTGTGAATTGCCAGTGGCTAGCAACAAGTTTATCAAAAAGGAGGGAGAAGGAAACAGAGCTCCTGCATTGATGGGATTGCTCAGAGTAATACCTATTTTGGGAGCCACCGCAGAAGCAAGTGCAGTCCACTCAACCCGACTCTTTTGCCAATGGCCATTTGTCTATTTTTTTCTTTTAATAAAATATGATATAACCAGAAGCTACCAAAATCCAACCAGCTTCCCATGATACTGCTTTGGTGAACAATGTTCCTCACAGACGGTAAATGCCTTTTCAGCACATATAAACAGAGAGGAACTCGGAGTTTCTGTCAATCAGTTTCAACTCCTTAAGCAAGCATGTTGCATGTCAAAAGCACCTGAGAAAGGGGACGGATCCTTTTTTTGTTTGTTTCCTGCCTTATTTTCTTTATAGCCTCTTTGAAAGACAGCTCTGTTGGACCCTGCTCATTGGAACCTGGATGCAGTCTCCATGGATTCTCTTAAGAATCTATTCTTTTTTTTAAAAACATGGTTTTCTTAAGAAAATGAACATCAGATTCCCCTCTCCCCCTTTTTATAAACAATCAGTTCTGACATGCCAGCCAAGATGGAAATACACTGTTTTTAAAATCTTCCTGAAGTGGGTGACTAAGGATACTGTTACATGTTGCATCCTTAACATGTGTTAAGGGCTCCTAAAACAGAAGTGTCCACACATTAGGGCAGTGTCCCGGGACCCGTGGAAGCCAAGAAAACTTACCGGGACAGCAGGACGCCGTGAGGGAGGGAGAGCCCGCGCGGCTTGTTAGCCGCGTCTATGTACAACTGCAGCTGGCAGCTGACGGTGATGTCAGCTGCTGGCCGGGAGATTTAAAAATGGTGGCCGCCGCTCTGGAGGCGGCGGAGGGAGAGAGGAACAAACAGCGGGCAAAGCTGTCCCTACCGTTAACCCAGTGGGACAGGAGCTGCCGAGCCGAAGAGCTGGAGAGTCCGGTGGCCGGGAGAAGAGGTGGGACAGCTGGATCCCCAGTGGAGAGAGCCTGTGGCGCCAGAGCAGGGGAACAACAGGGGATCAAGATCACCCAGGAAGATCCCGAGCTGCTTGAAGTAAGTGCCGTGGCAGGGAGTGTGGGAAGTGCCGAAGAGGAGGGCGAGGCCGAAGAGGAGAGGAGAGAAAGTTTGGGGCAGGATCGCCACCTAGAATAGAAGGCGTCAACTGAGGAATAAAGGGGACAGCGCTGTATACCCATCTAGGAGACGTCACTCCTGGGCAATATCATAGGGGCGCTGGAGGTAGGTCAGGGAGGTACACCTTGTAGAGGGATCACTGTGAGGAAGCACGCAGCTGAGGGTTCAGGGTGATGAATTGGTGGTGGGAAGTATCCCTTGCAATAGGGCTGGGATATCTACGCAGGCGAGGAAGGAGTCTGTCGGCACATCACTGAGTTGGTGCAGGGAAGTGGAGACCACAGGTGGCGTGAGGCCGGGGTGTAGGGATGGCTGGAGCCCCGTGTGTAACCGAGGCCAACCCGGGACACCGAGGGACCGGTGAACTAGCCCCGGCCCACTGGGATAACAGCAAAGTCGTGGCAGGCGAGAAGCGGGGTTGGCGAAGCGGGGAATACAACCCAAAATGCATTAACACCAATGCTCAGTGAAGAGGGTGGTCACCAGAATGGGGAGCTAAACTACTAGTAGGGATCTACGAAGGCCCGTCGGGGACAGGCAGGAAAACACAAACTAAGTGCACTCTGAGCATCTCAGAGAGACTCCTCTTCCAGCACAGATTATCTCGAGCTGATCTCGGGCAGCTTGTGTCGCAGTCACATTAGACTGTTCCAAAGGGCGAAGAGGTGGGAGTGGTTCTCCAGTATCCCAGGAGGCATCACTCCCAACCATTCCCAGGTGGATACTCTTTCTTCCCCCAGAGCAATAACGGGAGTAGCCAGAGGAGACTTCAAGGTAAGAAGTCACCCCCTCCCCATTCTGGGCTCACCCCCATGCCCTCTATTTACCTGCACTGGTACTGTGCTGGCTGACTGCCTGCCTGCCTGCTAATTGCTGCCTCCAAAGCCATTGCTGCAGCTGCTGCTCTCCGGGCTGAGCCTAGCTCAGAGTGGCAGTGGTACTTGAGTTCCCCTCCCCTGACTGTTCTCCAGGGCAGTTCCAGCAGGCACAGGCAAGCAGGACGCTGTAGGAGGTAAGCACGGATCTGGGATGAGTGGGGGCTGATCTGGGGTGGAAGGCATGACACACTGGGTAGAGGTTTGCTGGGGAAGGGGTGTGACGTTGGCCTAATCCAGGCTGGTGGGAGCCAGTGGGGACCCAACCTGGGCAGATGGGGACTGATGGGCCCAATGTGGCTGTCTGGGTCCTGATCTGGACCATTCAGAGCAGGTGAGCCAGACAGACAAGAGTCAACTTGGCAGCTCTTAGCCATGCCCCTTTTCACCAGCCCTCTAAGGGCAAGTCAGAGCATACAACTGCTTACAACATATGCTGCTTTAACATCAACTAATATTCCTGAAAATTAACATGTGCTGGTTGTAACATGCGATTATTCCCTTAGTCTCACGGGCTGTTCTACAATACCCTGAACAATGGAGGACAGGGGAGAAGAGGACAATAGAGCGTCACTGTAATTTAAAGAGTGCAGATAAGGTAAGGAAATCTACACCAAGTTACATTCTCTCTTGCCTGCAGTAAGAGTGCAGAACATGTGAAACAGGCTTCTCCATGCACAGATGATTTGCTGCTTCTTTGCACTGCAGTAGATCTTTATGAAATTCCTTCCTTCCCCCTCCCCCCAACTGTTAACTGAGACCAGCCAGAGAGTCAAGACCTCATGCCACTCTGGAATACAACATGCCCTGATCTCTAGTTGCAAGTCACTTGGATGTCTTCACTTACAGTTGAGAAGGCCAAGCTGTAGAAGTGATGCCAGAGCTGTTAGAATCATGAACAGCAACAGTCCTCCTCTTCGCCCTAGAAACCCAACAACCGGGCACATGGCTAGACAAGATGCCAAAGCAATCCCAGCCATGGTATAGTAGTCCGCATAGAAATTATGGGTGATCGGCATCTTCACCTCAGGGCTCATCATGCTTTTTGCAAAACAGTGGTGTATCCCAAAGCCAGTCAGCCTAGAGGAAACAGAAAAGAGCAATAGATCACTGCTGAGTAAGTCAGCAAATACTGAAATACAACAAGCCAGAAGAGAACACCAAGTCTGAGGTGAGAATTATGTCCATCTTGGCATGTATGATCTAGCACAATGGGGCTCAGATCTCATTTTGACCCCCACTGTTCTTCTGGAGAAGGAAAAATTGAAGTTGGAAAAAAAAAAAAAAAATCAAACCAAAGAGGTGACATCTATTGGTTTGATGCTAATAGGTGCTGGACAACAGCAGGTCCCACATCGAATGATATAGCTCGGGTTTTTTTATTATGTGATTGGAAGCAACCTGAAATCTGCCAGGAAAACCAATCAAAAGCTGCCCAACAAACTAACTGAACAGGCTTCTATCACCATTTAATCTTACTCCTAGCTCTTGTAATCAGTGCTATTATATGGTTTATAAAGAAGCTGTGTGTTCAGGCAGCAAAGAGGTTTCATATAAACCAGACCACACCAAAGACAGCAACCTCCAACTAGCAAGGTAATGCTGCTGCTGACAGCTCTCAAAATGAATGTTTAACGTGACATGGTGAACTTGCGTTTAATTCATTACTGATTGTTATGAAAGAGACAATGCATGGATTAAGCTGCGATTTATGTCGCCCTTCCACTTTGCCTTCCACTTATTTTAACACAAGAACAGGTTCTTCTCTGCTCTAACCACCACGTTTCCTCCCCCTGGTTTCAAATGCTTATTTTAAAAAATGGTGGGTAGTAGAAAGAAACTGCTATACTGGTGTGATATAAAACCAGTGACAAGGGGCCTGGTATATTTTAGTGCTATGAATGCCACCCTCAGAGGGTGCCATAACTCTCCCAGAAAAGAACTATATATGTGGCAAGTCCTGTAGTATTTGGGTAACATGGATCTGCTGCCTTAACTGAAAAGTAAATGACACATTACCAAACACCTATACATCATTAAGGCACGTTTGTATTCTAGCCTTTAGAATGACTGGCTACATGTTATATCAATATACCATCGTTTGATTTAGAAATCTACAGTGCATTCCATACAGAATCTTTTTCTGGCTTTAACTATGAGCTTTACTAGTCAGACATTATATTTAATATATTAGTGGGCAATCCTAATCCATTACATATACAAACAAGTACATACATTTGCAATGCATTTTAGAGTGACAGCCATGTGACAGATTGAATACCCATATAATTTATCCTCTGTATTTTGCTCTCTAATCCACATTTCCAGAATTTATTCTAGTATCTTAAACTGCTTAGCAGCTGCAGAGTTGTAGTTTTTAATAAATCAGGCTACCCTGAAGAGTTTCTCTCTTTCTTTCTTCCTGAAACACCTCATCTTCCCCCAAATTTACAGCTTCCAAAGTTTCACAATAGTGATGAAGGAGAAGAAATAGTAATAAGGAAATGTAGTAAGCTTCTGCCTACATAGGTTCAGTTAGTCCAATACTGTAACTCAGGGCTGTCTATATTCTGAATGGCCGGACAGCACAAGACCCCTAAGCTTCAGGCCACAGTAGACCCAGTCCTGCCATGCCAAAATGGGGGGAGTGACACCCAGTGGGCTGCAGTTTCACTCGTTGGGGGCCAGATATAGCCAATGGGCTGTCAGTTGGACAGCTTGCTGTAACTTAACGTGGGGTCACTGAAATTTTTCTTGTGAATGAAGATGACAGGATGGCTCTATAATAAGAGAGATGCTACCAATGGACTGGTTATTTTGAAAACCCTGTAAGACAGATTTCCACACATTCTTATTCCTAGGCCAAGATCTAGTGCTCCCAACATTTTGTTATCTCTATTTAAATATCACAGATTATTCAAGTGACGACCTCATGCAAGGGATATATTAGAAACACATTCATGTCCCTTTGATAAGGTAGTTGGGATCATTTAGAAAGAGATTTCAAATCTGTAATTTTGTAGCATGCCCAAACATTCTTATGCTGCGTCTAAGAAAGTGTGTTTTCCCCGTATAATCCCTTAGCAACTTTGAGGACGCAACCAGTTTAATCACTAAACAATGAAGTGACCTTGTATTTCTTAAAAAGCAGCCTTTTTTCTTTGCCAAATTAAAACGCTTACTTTTAGAAATATTAAACCAAGTATTTAACAGTTTTATAACTTTGCAATTTATTACTTTCAATTAACTAGGCATTGTTTTCTCTTCCCCATCTTCTTCCTTGGAATACGAGTCAAGATACAAGGACAAAAATCCTATTCTTCTTCACCTCACAATCTCCCCAATTCCTCCAAGGAAATGTATAAAACCTATGGATTAAAGTGGTAGCCATTAACTGTCCTCCATGTAACTGGAATCTACAGCTTGCTCTTTCACTTGAGCATAGGTGGAGAAAGAAAAATTTTGGGGGGGCTGAGTGCATGTGCACACACACGTATGCCCCTCCAACAGGTGAGTCTGCGTGGGGAGGGGAAAAGGCCGTGGGGGGAGGGAGTAGGGCTGGGGCAGGGCGCTGCCCAGATGGGGTGGGGCACAGGAAAGAGCTGCAGCTTGTTCAGGACATGGGAGGGGTGGGGGGGTGGAAGTCTCCTGCCACTGCATGTGCCAAGGCAAGGCACGGGGTGCATGCCCCCAGATCTGTGTGGGGCAGGGCAGGCTGCCACTGTGAGCTGGGC